GTGCTTTAAATTCTGATGTTGCGCTATTTCCTTCGGTCAACGTTCATGACTGGTTTTTTTTTCCACATTGTCCTCCCTTTTGTAATACAGTATTCCTTTCTTCTTCCCTGCTTGCTGATAGTGATAGTGTGTGTGTTTTGTGTGTGTGTGTGTGTTGTGTGTCTGGGCAGGTGCAGTGGGCCATGTTGACAGCTTGTCCCTCCTCTCTTGCCACAGGCAGAACTGTCACCCCTGTCATTCAGGCCTATGAACACAGCCATGAGGATATATGAGTGTGTGCTCTCAGGAGAGGGTCAGCTGAGTGTGAAGACACGCACACACAAGTAACATACTTTAGGCATGATGGGTGCTTCACAACCTCAGCCTGGGAGGACAGAGCATTCAGGGATCACAACTTTACAACAGTTGACACAGTGATGCAGCAAAGGAACAGAGGGGTGTGTGTGTGTGTGTGCGTAAAGATGTACACACTTGCAGCATGGTATAAAATGACATCTCCGATGCAGTATCATCGCTGGACATAATTAGAGCAGTCAAATGAGACATTTAACTTGTGACAAAAACAGTGTTGAATCACATAAAACTAGGATCTGTTCCCATGTTGTCACAATGTAAGGTTTAATAAAACTGTGACTACAATATGAACACATTTAAATGCAAGCAGATATGAGTGAAACTGGAAAAGGACCACAAAACACCATCTTAAAGCTGCGAAAACATCATTTTTAGGTTGAATAAATATCAAAAGGATAATAAAAAGACTGTTGCAGAAGGTAAGACTCAGTCTCCACCCCCTCACCTGGGCCTACAAAGGACCTAAGAGAGTGTTTAACCATCACACATAAAAGACACTTAAATAACAGTTTCATTCCATTAACACTCAGAGCTTAAAGCAAATGGCAGAAAGAAAAACAGATCCAATGAAGTTTAATGACAATACTTCCAAACAAAGAGCAGCAGTTCTACAGTTGATTCATTCAGAGTACCTTACATGTGTAACATTTATACACGTAAGGCAGGAACCAGTCAGTATACTACAATAGCCATCCATCCATTATCTTTTACCCGTTTCTTCCTTTTTGGGGAACTGGGATCACTGGTGTCCATATCTAACCCTCATTGTGCAAGAGGCAGGGGACACCCTGGACAGGTCTCCAGTCCATCACAGGGACACATAGAGACAAACACTGAGACACTCTCTCACTCACACCAAGGGACAATTTAGAGTTACCAGTCAGTCTGACATGCATGTTTTTAGTCTGTAGGAGGAAACTGGAGTACCTGGAGAAAACCCACGCATGCACGGAGAGAACATGCAAACTCCACCCAGAAAGGCCTCCGGCCGGGATTTGATCCAGCAGCCTTTTCACAGAAAGGAATCAGCTCTACCTGCCTCCTATACTATAAAAAGTATCGGAGGCACTTCAGTGTTATCCACCTCTAAATGAGTTTCTCAACTTAACGTTTTACTCATCTGTTAACTGTAATGAAGCAAAAACAGAAGCATGCACCCACACTAACTTTGTATCAAAACAACAAGCTCGGTAATGAGATGCGTGCCACTACGTTCAGTGGCGTTTCGAGTTATCATGACATCGTACTTCATATCTGACAGTGAGAGGTCACATGACAGAGTGTGAATGTCTGTGAATATAAAAACTTTTGTTAGCAAACAAACTTTTCCTACTACTGAATTCTTCAAAACACAAGACTTATTGTCTTCTTTCAACCAGTATCTTTGCGATTGCTGCAAGTTCTACTCACAATGACACTCAGAAGACAGAGTGTGACCACTGGAACTGCTATTCTGTTCCAATTCGTCTGTATGGCAATTTACCGTTAAATCAGGGATCATAATCCATGCCATTCGATGAATAAATTAATCTGAAACCTTTGATGATGGATGCTGTCTATCATGGCACACTAAGATTCATGACTGGTTGTAACTACCGTATCCATCACTGCACCCTGTATTCACTGGCTAACTGGTCATCATTAACTTCACACACTCTCTCACTTGTACATTTTCATCTTTAAATCACTTCTTGGTCTGCTGCCTTCTTACATCTCCTCCTACATGTCACGCCGTCAGTGCAGTTACAGCGTGCGCTCTCAAGCCATCATTACCTGCAGCGTCCTCTCACTGTGAACTGAAAGTCAGCAAAAAGGCCTTTTCTTACTCTGCTTCTGGAACACCTTTAAAAAAAGATCTGAAGCTGTCGACTGACTTCTCTAATGCAAAAATCAATGCAGACATGTTCCTGTTTTTAGTATTTTACCTCGTTTCATAATGTAGCTTGATTTTATCCAGTTTTATATCACTACTTTTATTGACTTTTTATTTTATATGCACTTTATGGTTGTTTATTGTTGTGTGTACCTTATCTGTGGTTTGTCTAAAACCGGTCTCTTGAAAACGAGTCCTCGTGACTCAATGAGACTAACCTGTATAAATAAAGGTTGAATGAATATCTCGGATGATTTGTCAGTTTGTACACCTTGATACCTTAAAATGTATTAAGAGCTCAAACATAATTGCCGTCTTTTTTAACCCTCAGCTGAGCAAAGATACAAAGTTTTTCAGCACAGTGTTTTATCTGCTACATTTAGTATTGATACATGGCTGAGAAAGGTTATTTGACTGAAATTCAACTTTTTACGATCAGTGTTGAGTATTTTCACTCTTTACAGACTGAAGTTGTTTAACATGTGTAGCTTTTAGTTGATTCTGTGGTAGGAAAGACTAAACTTTTTGTTTTAAACACTACAATTAGGTCATGATGTTCAGGAATAACTGTGGGCTACAACTAGACTGTTTAAATCACGCCTATACGGTTCAGTGGGGACTACACAGGGTCGAGAAAACTTTAATACCATCCTCATTTCCAACAACAAGACACTAAATCTCATGTTGACACGGGCTGCAACTAAACAAGCTGGAAGGTGTTCTGATCCAAACCCTCTGCTCCGAGTGGACTCAGAGGGTTCGACAGTCAAAGAGCCGGGGTCCATGTGTGTGTCCACTGGGGGCGTTGGCCCTAAACAAATTGCTCTGCCAGCTTTCTGCCCACTGCTCTTTTCAATGCTGATGGATGGACCTTATTCAGCACCATCTGGCTGAAGGATACCTCACATTAATCATCAAATGCACACACTCACACACACTCACAGCCATCTTTGAAACATACAAACAATAGATGAGAGCAACTGTAATTCATATAAACACACAAGAGAACATTTAACACACACATCAGCACAAAATACAGAGGTAACTAGGAACAAAGGCAACAAAATAAAATAAAAAAACACATTTTACACTTTTATTGATGTTTATATCTGTGTTCTTGTTTCCCATTTGTTTTATTTGTAACTCACAGTTAGTCGTGGGACATTAGGACACAAGCTTGGTCGACAAAAACAAATTATTTAGTTCAAAACTGGTTCATTTGGTTTGAAGCCTGAAGCTTCAGAAAGCTTCACCACAAGGTCCACAACTCTTTACTAAACTTCGCCGTGCCCACAGAGGGGCAACTTGAATTCTGTTTAAGACCTCAACTCTTCCTTTCCATACGCACACATGCGCACATACACAAACAAACCACAGGCTGAGTGAGAACCTTAGATAAATGTAATGCAAACTGAGTGATAATAGCTTTGTATGGCAGGCCATTATGAGCTTTAATACAAGCTGCTCTGTTCCAACATGTCCGTGGTGTGTGCACGTCAGCGTTGTGGTTGATCTGTGAGGAAGCAGGCTTGGATCTCTCGTCATTAAATCAGAGCTTCTGGCTCACTGGCTTCATGCTGTAATCAGATTTATTGGCTCACGTTCACAATGAAATTAAATTATTCAGCATTTAATGTGGCTGGAGGTTTGTTAGATTTACAAAAACATGCCTATATTTTTTAACATATAAAACATTTAAGAACCAAACTACTTCACACACACTGCATTCACTGATATAGTTTTTTTTTTTTTTTAAAGAGCTGACTTTACGATGTAATTATGACTTAATGGCAGGTATATGATGCTATTAAATGTGACATGACTTCTGAATAGTTTTAATAATGCTTTATTTTTATAATAGGTCTACAGATAAACATGACCATTTTCACTAAAAATGCAAAAAATCGATCTTAAAAACTCAGTTTACTGACCTGAAGTGGAATTTCTGCCTGGATCTGTGGGCTGCATGTTTTCTACCTGACATCAAGCCTTTAGCAGTGTAGCGTTTCAATTGTAGCTCATTAACTGATAATGTCTGACTGACCCTTGGTGTGTTTAAAATGAGTAAAAATGGGAACAGAACATATTTTTATATTGAGAGGACTGTAGTGACTGTCGTTCCATGGCTGAAAGATGGTGTATTTGTTCTGATTGAACTGGATAACACAGAAAATCCTGCTGAAAAAAGAAAAAGGTCACTGATCAACATCTATCTCTGCCTGCAGGAATCACCGTCTCCTTAGAGACACACAGTTGTCCTGTCCTTATCCACTACTGTCTCCTCATGTCAACAAAGACAAACTCTCCACAGCTCTAAATCCAATGCAACGACAGCAATGTGAACCAGGTAAGTCAGGCACTGAACCAAGTCCTCTTCTTTGTGGTAACAAGACTCTAAATACTCAAGACTTCAGAGTTTAGAAGAAGAAGAAGAAAAGGAAAAAAGAAGAAAGTGCTACTATGTGTTGTCATCGTTGTATGTTTCTCAACATTGATGAAATTAGTTCTCTGCATTTAACCCATCACATGTGAGATACACCCAGATAGAGCAGTGGGCAGCTATGCAAGCACCCGGGGAGCAGCTAGGGATTGGGTGTCTTGCTCAAGGACACCACGACATGTGGGCATGGTGGGGAGTTGAACCTGTGACATTCTTGTCCCAAGCCGGCTGCTCTGCCTCTACACCACAGCCACCCCATTTCTTATGTGAACCACAGTGTTTGTAAAAAAAAACACAAAGATCCAACTCAGCTCAAAGACTAAAGGACGTTACCTTGTGGTCGTATGGGTTGTAGGAGTGGAAGACTTCGGAGAGTTCCTTCGTCCTTTGCTTCTTCTGCAGACGGAGACAAAAACATTAAAAATATGATGAACAAAGTCACAAATCATGTTAACAAGAGCAGCTCAGGTTAAAAAGTTACAAACATTATCAGTTTAAATGAAGTGCGACTTTTTAAATGGTTGGATTTGATTTTTTTTTAATAATTACTTTATACAGACATGTCTGATGCTTTTGATCAGTCCCAAAGGAAACATTTCCCTCCATCTATCTTTCTATATTTTAATACTGATCCAACATCTGGCAATTGGCCTGTCCTCATCCTCTGCCTGTTGAAAACCAGCTTCATATATGAATTTACTGAGTAGACTTTAAAAGAAGATAAAATAAACCATGACCATGCGCTTACAGCTGTGTTCACGTTTTTATTAAATCTACAGACAGAAGTGTGGGGAAACTTTTGATTTGTTCTGCAGCTGTGGCAGGTTAAAGCCCATAAATTGAGTCAAACTTTGTCCTCAGCTTCTGTGACGTGGAATGAGACAGACCAGAAAAAGCATGGCTGAGATGAGACAGCTGTCACTACATTAGACTGATCAGAACTAAACATGAAACATGTAGCAGAAAAAGTCCATGCTCAATAATCCAGGTAAACAATCCAACAATTTTCAGTCAGGTCATCTGGACATTTTCTTTTTTTGTTGAAACGTTTCACCGTCTATCCGGAAGGCTTCATCAGTTTCAGCAAATAAAGAAACTGTCCAGATGACCTGACTAAAAATTGTTGGATTGTATACCTGGATTATTGAGAATGGACTTGTTTTGGTTTTGAACCAGTTTGACATGACTGTTGACGAGGAAGAGGGCCGGCACAAGAGGAGGGGGCGTGCCAAAGACACCATCTTAGCACCAACATAACTGGTTTGTTCCACTTTGGCGTAAGCTGTTTGGGGGAAGAATCAGTTTTGTGTTGAGTGTTTCCTTGACTGATGAAGCCCTCCGGATGGAAGGTGAAACGTTTCAGCAAAAAAATTAACTGTCCAGATGACCTGACAGAAAATTGTTGGAAACATGTAGCAGATTTATAAAGGAGGACAAGTTCATTGCCTCTCTCACACATCTTGTTTTTTAATTTGCTCTGTATTTTACAGTTTGTAATCAGTGTCCTTAGACCAGATCAAATGTTTCAAACACAGATGTTCAAACTGAAACTGTAGAGGCTCGACTGCAGAGGAGAAAAATGATTTAATCACATGCAGATTATCTGTAGTGAAATGGTGAGTGAAACGTAAACTAGAAAGAAATCCTGTTTATTGAAAAGTGGCCTTATTGTTTCTGCTAACTTTGACATATCCGTTCATCCTGTCCCTTCATGGACATTCATCCTTCTCTGAACATAATGCAGCCTGTAGTGCTCATCAGTCTTCCTGCTCTCTGTGTACCTCGTCACTTGTCTTGGCTCCCTGTGGTCCATTTCGACCATCTACAGCTCCCTCTGTATTCACACAAGGCTCCACTGATCCTCCAGTCCTGTAATCATTGGCCTCATCTCTCTGTGCTCGTTCCGTTTTCAGAGTATTTCTTCTCTCTTCCTTGACCCGAGGGCTCACGTGAATCCTTACATCGTCATTTTTCCCATTTTATTTGACTTTTCCATGTTCTGTTGTTATGTTTTTCCAAAGGGGTGAAAAAAACGAATCATTCATCCTGCACTAGTTCAGCCATTCTTCCTTTCTGTTCCACTACAAGTTCTCTACTCTGATTTTTTGTTTCTGGGCTCGGAACACCTTGAATGAGAACAATGCTTCCATCATTCCTCTTTAGCACTATTGTACCTCTCCTGCAAACACCTCATCAGTTTCTTCATCATTGTGCATCCTGAGATGTTTGTTATTGTGGGTGTTAAGACAGATGTTACTACAGGCAGGACTTTGTCCTCCATTGAATACACCGAGGAATTTATTTATTTAAACAACAAAACGTAAACACAAACATACAGACGTACACAGAAGAAAAAAACAAACAAAAACATTAATTTATTCTGTTATTCATCCTGGGAGTCCAAATCCACGCATGTGAGACAGGAAAGCCTGTTCCATCTCTGAATATTATATTTTTAAACATTCAATGTAAAATATTCAGATGTTTTAACATGTTTGTAGTAAAACATGAGAAATAAATGTCCTGTATATTTAAGAATGATCTTTACAGGTCAGCAAGAAATGTGTGTCTGTTTGTGTGTGTGTGTGTGTGTGTGTGTGTGTGTGTGTGTGTGTGTGTGT